ATGCATGTGTGGGAGTTGCTCCTGCTACTACCAACACCACCACCACCACCACCACTACTACTACTGCTACTGCTACCTCCATCTTCATGTTACACAAATATCGACTGGATGGCACACCACTTCTGGTTTGGAGGTGGACACGAAGGAGGTGGAGATGGGCATCGTCTCCTTTGTGCCACCATGACCCCACAACCATTACCACTCACACCTTCACACCTCCTCCATTCTCACCTCCCTCCCTTCCCACATCGCATTCGCACCGACTGCCGCCTCCATTTGCACTGTCAATGCAACTAAGAAGGAATGTGCCATGACGTGATTAAATCGCCTCTCTTTAACCTCCCTTCCACAAAGTAGTGAGAATCATGACCACCTCCTACTCCAACCATTGGCTGTGTGTGTGTGTGTGTGTGTGTGTGTGTGTGACGTGGAGGAGAGCGACACCGAACGATGCGGATTAGACGCAACAAAGCAGTGCTCACTACCAACAAAGCAATAGACTACTACAAGGAGGCACTTGAAGTGGAGGTGAATGGCAGACACATTGGAGAAAGTGGTGGTGTACGTCGACGTTCAATGTGCAATGGGGTATGCAGAAAGATGAGGTGGTGGTGGTGGTGGTGTACAGTGATGTTTGTCGAATGGGACGCATGGAAGGCAGACATTCGCATACACTGGCATTGTGGCCACCGTGGGTCAGCACACTGGTAAGTGCACCCCATCATCACATGCCCCATTGTCTCTCCTTTCCTCCCTACCTCCTCCACACTCACCTACACCACCTGGACACTGACTTTGCGCCTCACACATCCCAATCACACCGTAACATCAGGAGAGCATTCGGCAAGGAGTGAGGTGATGTGAATCGTTGTCCTTGCGTGGTACCAGTGGAGGCCTTGTGCGTGCTCCACAAGGGAATCTCGAACCCCACTTCCTTTACGTTTGCTTTTCCTTCATAAACAACGCCTATTTTTAGCCCTTTTCATCGAAGTGACTAATCATTTTGTTTGCCTTGTTAAAAGCGAAGGAGAGAGTGAGAATCGAGGGACGGGGAGGGAGAACGACATGGTTGAAAGTCGGCGAAAGAAAAGAGATGAGAGTGAAGGTGGGTGGGTGGGTGTGGGGAGGGGAAGGGATTACGGCTGGAGGGGAGAGAAACACGAGAAAAGGAAAGAAACAGACAAAAGCTGTGCTGTTTTTCATGCACTTTATTCCCATCTTGATGGCGGTAACAGCGGTGCCGCTAACAACAAAAAAATGCATTTTTAATAAATCTCACAGGCGACAACACCGTCACCGTCACCGTCACCGACACCGACATCGAGTGTACACAACAAGTAAACATGAATTCGTGCTCTTTACTCTCCCACCTATCCTTCATCCCTCCTCACCTTTCTTCGCTCCCACCGACGTGTCACTCTCCTCCGCACGAGTCGTCGAATGCACTGCGATTGCACGTGAACCTCATGTTGCGTCTTTGGCAAGCTGATGTGGGAGGAGGAGGAGGAGGAGGAGATGGTGGAGGAGGAGGAGGAGGAGGAGGAGCAGAGTGTCGGTCTCGATGAGCCGAAGCCCGGCACATCCCCTCTTATCACATTTTCATTTAGCAGTAGTATTCACTTCAAGCAGACACGACTGTCTTTTTTGGTTAACAATTTTAAGTGTTTCAAATCTTTTTACAAACTTCATTTGTATCAGTCACAGCTGTGGACTATGCTTTTGTCATGCATGGGTAAAACAGAACATAAAATGCAACTTTTTTGTTTTATTTTCTTCAAAATGCCCCGTTAGTGGCGCGTTTGAAGGAGGCCAAACGACCTTCATGTTAAATAGCTAAACAAGCCACATATCATTTCCCTGCAAGAGTAAACCAAGTTCAATTTCCATGCCAGGGTTTGGCCTCGGGCCAACACGTCAGAGATGCACCCAAAGGTCAGGCGTGAATAAGCAGTGTGATGATGATGACTAACCGATGAGGCTGGCCAATCTGCTCGTTTATTCTTTCTTCTTCTTCTCCTCCTCCTCCTTTTTTGGCTACCATCATATAGTTAGTGATAAATTGAATTTGTGCTGGTGCCAGGAAAACGCATTAAGTTCTGCTCTCATTGAGGATGAAGTCAATGTCACCTCCCAACCATCTCATAAAGGTGCCAAAAAACGTCGCTTTGGAGAGCATGAAGTTTTACCCACCTTGAAATGGAGAGCGCAACGTCTAAATGCCGGTGATACATATCTCTTTAGTAGGTTGTTCCACACAGTTGGGTGATGAATTGTTTTTACTGAGTCGACACCCTACAGCCTACAGAGGTGAGGTAACCATTGTTGCTCTTAATTTTTCATTCGTAAACCCTCCAGGTTGAATGAATAGCACGTGAGCGGATGTTTTTGCAAAAGGTCTAGGAATTTTATTGCGTTTAAAAGATACCGAGAAAGTTGGGCTACTATTCCATATCCACAAAACTACATTGCATGGAGACAACTTGAATTATAGTGGAGGCCATCAACGACGCTACCTACGACAACTCGAGCCCTTCACCTCAGCTTTAATCTACTGCATCGGCTCAAGTTGAGTCTGCACCAACAAATTGCAATTTTGTTTGACAGATTCTTGCTTAAAAAAAACAAACAACTCGGTTATTATTTAGTCCGCAAGAATGCTACTTAATTGGCTGCATTTTAGTAGTATATTCTACCAATTGCTCCAGTTTGAGTTACATTGCTTCACAAGTTTTACCACAAGCTATCTTATACATTTAGCTACAAGTGGCTGTCCAAAGCAGAGACGCTTAGTTGGCCTTGCTAAGGATTAGCATTTGTTGGGGCAAAAGATCTACCGAAATCGAAAGGAATTTTTTGCAAAGCTTCCGTCCTAAAATGAATCAGAAGCAAATTCATCCAAGGGTCAAAGAAGGACAGGACATCACTACCACCACCTGAAGTCCTTTTCCTTTGAAGTGGGTACTGCTTTAACCAACTGAAGTAGCCGTCCCCACGAACCTTCCGTCTGTCCAGCCAGCTGACTTTGTAAGCCTCGCACAGGCGTTGTTTCCTTCTTTCCATCCTACAGCCACCAATTTGAAGTTTCGCCCCACTTGTCCGGATGGTTTGATGTGTTAGGGTGGAGAAGTAAGTGGTGGGAAGAAAAGGAACTCCATTTTGTTTTTTTCTCCCCCCATCAATCCCCCTCGTGGAGGAGGTGGGTGAGTGTGTAAGGCAGACAAGAGGAGTTTTTTTTACCTCCTCTGAGTAAAGTTGAGCTTCCATTACTGTGATAGCGGGTTAAATTAAAGGAGACCGCCAAACGCGTGTCCATCATGCCTTCCGACTTGTCAACCGTAGTTTTGAAGTTGTACTTTAAGCAAACAATGCTCTTAGAGAACAGAACCTCTTAGTTGGGAATTTCGCATCGTGCTTTCTTAAGTAAGTTCTTTAGGTGGTTGAGTTCTCTCAACGAGTTTACTACGCCTTGTTCCTTGGTTCCTAGATAACGGCTTTGAAAGAGAATGTAAATTTTTGTCTCCTCCTCCGCTTCCTCACCTCATCGTCTCTGCTGGTTGCCTCCATCCAACCTCTTCGATGGTCTAATTGAATCAAATGAGAAAACTGTGGTCAGGAGCAACATTGAAGCGCTAACAGAAATTTCTAATTTGCCTTTGAAGTCAATGTTATAGCAGGAGGAGAAGTAAGAGAGAGTCACACTCATATTGCCCATCTGCATTACCTACGACTGTAACAGCCAGCACTGAAGGCGCTCGGAGGCTGCTTCCTTCGACGTAAAACACATTTGATTTAAGATTAAATGAACTTCCGCAATGATCGCATTCTTAGTGTTAAAGAAATACGATAGCCGGTATCGTGTTTTTTCCTATCTGCATTCCAAAGATGGATTTTATGGCCTTTAAGTCACTGAGACATTATAAACATCATCTTCTACCTGGGAGACCAGAGTTTGAAAAAAATGCAGCCGTATTAAATGAGCTGCAAAATGGAGAAAAAAGAATTTGTTGACCTTAATATCATCCTTGGTTTAACAGAAGACAATGTATTAACCTTTAGGCTCTATCTGTTAGCAGGTCAATAAGGTGAATTTTACTGCCTCAAATGACCAATCACGCAGAAGGAACAAGAAGAAAGATCGGGATTACCAACACCAGGTGAACCCGACAAGGAATCGCTGTCAAGGCAAGAGTGCAGCTGACCAAACATGCTCTGCTTAATAAAAATGTGATAAGAGGGGAAGTGCCGGGCTTCGGCTCATCGAGACCGACACTCTGCTCCTCCTCCTCCTCCTCCTCCTCCTCCCACATCAGCTTGCCAAAGACGCAACATGAGGTTCACGTGCAATCGCAGTGCATTCGACGACTCGTGCGGAGGAGAGTGACACGTCGGTGGGAGCGAAGAAAGGTGAGGAGGGATGAAGGATAGGTGGGAGAGTAAAGAGCACGAATTCATGTTTACTTGTTGTGTACACTCGATGTCGGTGTCGGTGTCGGTGTCGGTGACGGTGACGGTGTTGTCGCCTGTGAGACTTATTAAAAATGCATTTTTTTGTTGTTAGCGGCACCGCTGTTACCGCCATCAAGATGGGAATAAAGTGCATGAAAAACAGCACAGCTTTTGTCTGTTTCTTTCCTTTTCTCGTGTTTCTCTCCCCTCCAGCCGTAATCCCTTCCCCTCCCCACACCCACCCACCCACCTTCACTCTCATCTCTTTTCTTTCGCCGACTTTCAACCATGTCGTTCTCCCTCCCCGTCCCTCGATTCTCACTCTCTCCTTCGCTTTTAACAAGGCAAACAAAATGATTAGTCACTTCGATGAAAAGGGCTAAAAATAGGCGTTGTTTATGAAGGAAAAGCAAACGTAAAGGAAGTGGGGTTCGAGATTCCCTTGTGGAGCACGCACAAGGCCTCCACTGGTACCACGCAAGGACAACGATTCACATCAACTCACTCCTTGCCGAATGATCTCCTGATGTTACGGTGTGATTGGGATGTGTGAGGCGCAAAGTCAGTGTCCAGGTGGTGCAGGTGAGTGTGGAGGAGGGAGGGAGGGAGGCAGGGAGGCAAGGAGAGACAATGGGGCATGTGATGATGGGGTGCACTTACCAGTGTGCTGATCCACGGTGGCCACAATGCCCGTGTATGCGAATGTCTGCCTTCACTCCTCACCCCATCCATGCGTCCCATTCGACAAACATCTCTGTACACCACCACCACCACCACCACCACCACCACCACCACCACCACCACCACCACCACCACCACCA